TTAAAAAAAAAAAAGCACGAATCATATAATGCTCCCTAATAACGAATGCCAGTTCGATCCAAGTGGCAAAGTAAATCTCCTAAAATGCCAAAAATGGGTCTAACACAAGATCATCATAAGGCCAACTCGTGGATATATCTCATGTAAGAAAGAAGAAATAAATAAAAAGATAAATAGACCTCTAGATTAAAACCTATCCTTTTCTAGGTCTAGATCTTAGCAATGCATATAATCAACCGAGATACTCAGCTGATTTTCTGTGATTATTATTTATTGTGATTGATTTGGTGTATATATTGTTTCCTTTTATTATGTTGTATCATTCCCTATTTAAAGGGTTTTCATGTTCAATAGAAAGGCATTCAGAAATTCACACCATAAACTCTTTTATGGTATCAGAGAAATTCTGATCACCATCCCTTCCGCCGCCCTTCTTCCTTTTTTTCTGATCGGATACGTCCAAAACTGTCATCACAATGACTAAAGATGCTGTCGAACAGCCATCAAAGCCCCAATCCTTACATCCAGCATACTCTGTAACAAATATCCAGAGTAAAATTCGAACCCTAGACGGCACCAATGTCACGTATTCTCAATGGACCCGGCTGTTTCGATTACACGCGATCGCCTACAAGGTGATGGATCATATTGATGGTACTCCTTCTCCGGCATCATCTTCCCCGGAATATGATGCCTGGAATGAAATCGATGCTCTTGTCCTTCAATGGATATTCAGCACTCTCTCTGATGACCTTCTCAAACGAGTCATGGATGACAGCACTACTACAGCTCGTGCTGCATGGTCCAAACTCGAGAAAATCTATCTCAGTAACAAGAAGGCACGTGCTGCATCATTGGAAACCAAGTTCTGCAATATGTCTTCGTCAGCGTGTTCCTCCGTTGAAGATTATTGTCAGCGATTGACTGATATTGCAATCAAATGGCCGATGTCGATAACCCTGTATCCGAGTCCCGTCTTGTTCTTCGACTGGTCAGGGGTTTACCAACTGAATACAATACTACTGCTGCCCTCATCAATCAGAATGGTGTTGATTGGGACCAAGCCGTCAGTATGCTGAATGATGAAGTCCTCCGCTTAGACGCCCAAAAAGGTTCTCATTCCACTGTTTTGGCCGCAACCGCTGCTCCAAAAACCCCTCCAAGCAACCAGCCGGTTCCGCCGTCCGACAACAGTGTCTCTTCCTCTCGTGGCCGGAGCCGGGGCCGTGGGTCCTGGAACCGCCGCGGTGGTAGGGGACGCAACAGCAATAACCGGCAGCCTACCTGGTCCGGCCAACAGCAACAACAGCAGTCCGGATACTCTCAACAGAGCGGGTTCCCTAACTGGGCCTGGTGGACACCTCCACCATGCCTCTATCCGACTCAACAGCGGCAGCAATGGCATCCAAACAGCAGCCCAAATCAGCAGCCGGTCGCCCAACCTCAGGCACATTTTTCTGGATTTCCGCAGCAGCCGTTCATCGGGTACAACCCTTCACCACAAGGCGTATACAATGCACTGAGCCCTTCAGATCTCAGCGCAGCATTCAGTAACATGCAGATGAATCAGCCGTCTTCCTCGTGGGCTTCGGACCTCATGGATACCGGGGCAGAATCTCATGTAACTCATGAGCAGGGTAAGATACTAATACCACATTCTAATCCTGTTTGTAGTAAATTATTGGTGGCCAATGGCAATTCTTTACCAATACATGGATCAGGTACAGGTTTTCATCACCTACCAAACCGAACCTATGTCCTTCCCAATGTCCTTTACAGCCCACAAGTTATTAAAAACCTTATTTCTGTCAAACGCTTTACTCGTGATAATCAAGTCTGTTGAATTTGACCCGTTTGGTTTTTCATTGAAGGATCTCAAAACTAGGACGCTATTGTCCCGACACAACAGCACCGGAGACCTTTATCCGTTCACTCAGCCGCAACTACCTCCTCAAGCCACTTTCCTTGCTACCACCAGTCACCCCTGGCATGATCGTTTAGGTCACCCAGGGGCTCAAGTTTTGGATATTTTAAGTCGTACTTTCAATTTTCAAAGTAATAAGAGTAAAAACTCTCATGTTTGCGATTCTTGTCAAATTTCAAATAGTAAACGTTTGTCCTTTCATGCTTCTAATACTTTTACTTTTGCACCCTTTGATATCATCCATTGTGACTTATGGACTTCTCCTATCACGAGTAAAACAGGATTCAAATACTATATGGTTCTTATTGATAATTTCTCCCACTTCGTGTGGGTGTATCCTCTCAAATATAAGTCTGACACGTTTCACACTTTTGCCAAATTTCACCGTTTAATTGAAACTCAATTTCACCGAAAAAGTAAAACTTTTCAATGTGACCTCGGGGGTGAATTTGACAATTCAGCCTTCAAAGCCTTTGCAGACCAACAAGGACTTTTGTTTCGGTTTGCTTGCCCACAAACCTCCAACCAAAATGGCCGGGCAGAACGAATGATTCATCGCCTGAACGACATCGTTCGTGCCCTGCTCATACACGCCAACCTCCCTCCCTCGTTTTGGGTAGAAGCCTTACACACTGCCGTTTACCTGCACAACATTTTACCCACCAAACGTCTCAATTTTTACACTCCCACTTTTGCCCTCTACCTACGGCGAATACACCCACCTTCGGGTGTTCGGGTGTGCTTGTTATCCTAATACCTCTGCCATCCAACCCCACAAATTACATGCCCGTTCCATCCGATGTATTTTTCTAGGGTATCCACCCGACTTTCGTGGGTATAGATGTTTTGACCCAACAACAGGCAGAGTACACATATCTCGCCATGTAACCTTTGACGAACATGTGTTCCCCTACACTATTCCTTACACTATTCCTCAGAACCCCACCGCCTATAACTTTTTAGACGAAACCATTCCCCCAGGTTTTACCTTTCAGCAACCCACAAGCAAATCTTACATTACCACTCCATATCCCTTCACATATAGCCGTCGTCCCAGACCACAAAACACAGCAGTCCCAAACCCATCGGCAGCACCACACACCGCCCACCCTCCAGCAGCCTAATCGACCGTCCACAACCTACCAGCCCACTCTACATCAACCGGCCTACCTCTACCAGCCAACTCCCATCCCATGACCACACGCTCCAAAACTCGGTCCACTACCCAATCGGCTTTTTCAGCCACCAATATCTCACTCATCCCTACTACTTATGCCAAAGCCTTATCTGATCCTAATTGGTTGAATGCTATGCAAGCCGAATTTACTGCTCTACAGGACAATGAAACGTGGGTACTAGTACCTCGACCTGCGGATTGCCCGGTTATTAGATGTATGTGGCTGTTTCGTCATAAGTTTAAGGCTGATGGATCACTTGAACGTTACAAGGCCAGGTTAGTTGTAAATGGAAATTCACAGACAATGGGCATTGACTGCGCGGACACCTTCAGTCCGGTTGTCAAATCGGCTACCATTCGGACAGTGCTATCACTCGCAGTCTCACGCTCATGGCCTATCCACCAATTGGACGTAAAAAATGCATTCTTACATGGGGATCTCAATGAAACCGTTTTCATGCACCAACCTCCCGGTTTCTATGATCAACGGGCACCCAACCTGGTATGTCGTCTCAAAAAATCTCTTTACGGGCTCAAGCAAGCACCACGGGCCTGGTACACCCGCTTTGCTAACTATATCACCACTCATGGGTTTCGTAGCAGTGCATGCGACAACTCATTATTTATTTATAATCAGGGTTCGTCCAACACTGCTTATTTGCTATTATACGTTGATGACATAATTCTCACTGCGTCTAATGACAAGCTTTTGCGTGAAATAATTGCCACTTTGTCACGAGAGTTTGCTATGACTGATCTGGGCCGCTTACATCACTTCTTGGGCAACAAAGTCTCCCCACATTCCCATGGTATTTTTCTTTCACAGGCTCAATACGCACAAGACATAATTGCTAGGGCCAACATTTCTTCATGTAAGCCGTGCACGACTCCAGTAGACCTCTCGCCCAAAATGAGCAGTGCAGATATCCCACTGTTCTCGGATCCTACTTTATATCGCAGTCTTGTCGGGGCTTTACAATACCTCACTTTTACGAGACCTGACATATCATATGATATGACATATCATATGATATGCGGTTCAGCAGATCTGCTTGTTTATGCATGAGCCTCGAGATTCTCACTTTGCCTTCATGAAGAGGATCATCTGTTACATTCAAGGGACGATTCACTATGGTATACGTATCATCAAATCCGCATCTCATTCATTGGTGGCTTATTCTGATGCTGACTGTGGTGGTTGCCCAGACTCCCGTCGTTCGACTTCGAAATATTGTGTTTTCCTCGATGACAATCTGATCTCCTGGTCCTCCAAGCGGCAGCCTACTGTCTCACAATCCAGCGCTGAAGTTGAATACAGGGGTGTTGCCAATGCGGTAGCTGAAGCCACATGGCTACGCAATTTACTTCTTGAGTTGCACACGCCTCTTACTCATGCTTCAGTTGTGTACTGTGACAACATCTCAGCAGTGTATCTTTCCAATAATCCGGTTCAGCATCAAAGGACGAAACACATCGAGATTGACATACATTTTGTTCGTGAGAAAGTTCGTGTAGGACACATTCGCGTGCTTCATGTGCCTTCTTCATTGCAAAATGCGGATATTTTCACCAAGGGGCTCCCTCGACAGCTATTCCAGTCATTTCGTTCCAGCTTGAGCGTCTGTCCACCGCCCGCTCAAACTGAGGGGGTGTCTTAGCAATGCATATAATCAGCCGAGATACTCGGCTGATTTTCTGTGATTATTATTTATTGTGATTGATTTGGTGTATATATTGTTTCCTTTTATTATGTTGTATCATTCCCTATTTGAAGGGTTTTCATGTTCAATAGAAAGGCATTCAGAAATTCACACCATAAACTCTTTTACTAGAATGCTTTAGGTATGCGGTCATTCAGATAAAATTTCACTTCTCAGAATAATCGCCAATCCTTTCTACCCTCAAACATATTATCAGTCAAATGATAAATTTAGATAAAGAAGAACAAACAGACTAACTCAGGCTTCACATTAGCAATAGCATAACATCATTCACAAACACATGAGGAAAAGAGCTAAATTTGTTCCAATTTCATTTCTCAACCACGACTGAGACGAAATTTTCTACCTCAATCCCTTAAAAGTTAAAACATCTCAACACCCTTTCTTCACGTAATTCATCCATCCATTAGGACCAAAACATGGTTAAATTCAGTGATCTATAGCGCATATATGTAAATCCCACAGAAAAAGCCAGACTTGCATATTGTTCAGAGTCCAGAGTCCAAAGTACTTACCAGATGACTGACAATATGAGAACCAGAAGTATTTCCTCGCGAATTACAAAACCATTTTCTACAGGATGGCACATTGCACCTCACCACGCAAGCCGGGTTCGTGACCCCGCAATACCTGCAAGCATGCTCCGTAAAGTCTCCATTATCATACTCGAAGACCTCGTCCTCACCGCCAGTGTCTTCGAAGTTCAGGCCGCCCATCCCTGCTGCTAGTGCCTCCACGACCCCGGTATCCTTGCTATTACTATTACTACTATTACTGGCAGTGGCGCGGTCACGGTGTTTGGCGGAGGACTGTGAAGCTTCAGAGGAGGAAGGAAGAACCTCGGTGGCCGAAATTGAATCGGAGGGCGTGGGCCAGACGGAGGTAGACGATCGGATGGGCTGCGAGAGTTCTTGAAATTCAGGGTAATCGAAGTCCTCCTCGCCCTGAGTGTTGAATTCAAGAAACGCGTACGCGTCGTTCCCGGTGTCCGGCTGCGACGCCGTCTCGTAGAGATTGCTCGCCTGCGAATCCATGCAGGCTTTCTTCAGCCCCTAATGCAATTATGCAAAATGCCGAAAGCAGAGATCACTGAATTGGAGAAAATCGCTGGTGAATTGGAGAGAATTAGGGCTAGGGTTTGGTTTGGTGAGGGGAAAAGGGGTTAGGCGAATCAGAGTGTTCAAAGAGGGGATATCGTCTGCACTGACGCGATGTGCAAATGGGGCTATCCGTATCCGACCCGACCCGACCATCATGCGTAATTTAATGTGGTTTGATTCGGTTTGAATTAAGTTATTTTATCAATTATCAATGGGTGTGTCCTAGCCAATTTAGAATAGACCAAGACTGTCCGTCCTTTCTCCTTGTGCGAATCTCGTGCGATGTACGGGTAAGGAATATTCATTATTTTTTATAAACTGAAAATGTTTGTTAAATAATATTTATAATCTATTAATATATAAAAAGGAAATGATAGTTGTTTGAAAAAATCAACTAAAAAATCAGCAAAAAAAAAATTTCAATTCCCCCCTAAAGTTTACTATAATGAGCAAGATTTTTGGCAAAAAATTGGATAAGTCCGCCCAGTATACAATTCAAAATTTTTGGTAGCTTTTTTTATAGACTTATTTATCACTTAAAGATTTAGTCAGATTTTTATGCCAAATATTTGTAGATATCTTAATATAATATATTTCATGAGAGCCGAATTTTTTGGGGCATACGGTTATTCTATTAATCACTGTGTGATTGCGCATCTTTGAGATAACCTGCCCTTTCCAATTGATGCCATTGCCGACATGAAAACCTTCTCCTGTGACCACCTGATTAGAGATTCGAAGTACCAATAGATTCAGAATAAGTGCCGAGACGGCTTGAACAAACAGACGTCGGATGCGAGCTGGTCGGAATTGTGTGCGGGCTGCTGGAGATGGATGAACTCGCCATGGCTGAAACCTGGAAGCTGTCGGAGAAGACGATCGGAGTTTCTGAGCGTCAGATATGGATGGACCTGAATGTACGCCGGCGGGAGGACCGATTGCGCACGAAGAGTCTGGGCGGAGGGATGGCTACTGGTAACGGCTGGACACGACGGGGTGCTGTACTCCGACGTGTGAAACTTGGTTGGCGGGGGATAAAAAACTCTCCACGACGTTGAAGCTGCGTGAATTTGCTGTAGAAGAAAATCGGAACTCCATGCCCCACAGTTGAGCAAAGCTACGCGAGAGAAAACGGTGGGACTCAAGGGTGCTGTTCAGTTTTTTCGGCTGAATTTTTGGGAAGATTTTGCACGCTAGAATTTTGGGAAGCTTTTCGGGAAGAAATCGGTTAGAATTATTTGGAGGAAAACTAACAAATTGTGGAACCTAACGGAGTTTAACCGAGAAAAAAATCCCTCTCTTTAACCCTTTCTCTCTCTAGAAATTTGTCAATTCTAAATTCTAATGGCGGTTTCAAAGGCTTTCTCTCTTCTGATGGTAGCAGCGGCTCAGTCTCCTTCCATAGCTCCAGTGCCGTCACCAGTGGTCAGATCACCGTCTACGTCGTCGGTGCCGCCGAGGGGCGCTCGGTCCCCGGCTCCGATGTCAACCGCTATGCCGCTTCCGGCACCGGCGACTCCCTCTCCTACGCCGGCGGACGCGCTTTCGCCGCAGTCTCCTCCGCCGGCGGCATCTTCCCCGTCCCCGTCCGTCGCCTCGCCACCGTCGGACATCGCACCAGCTCCCCGCCCCAACGGCGGCGCCGTAAACAGGGTGGGGCTCGCGGCCATCGCCGCCGGATTTCTGGCGGTCTCTATGGTTGCGTAAATAGTTGGGGAGTGGTGGCCGCCGGCGTACTTTTTAGTCTAGATCGAGTTTTCGCCTTTGTTTATTTGTTGTTGTTTATTTTTATTTTTTTTCTATTTTCTGGATTTTACATCGGGATATTTATATTACTTATTTTGTAGGCAGAATTTTATTCTCGGGATTAGTTATTTCTTCTCTGGAATTTAGATTGATGATTTTGGCGTTTAGTTATTTTATTATTAGTAGTTGTGTTCTGGAATTTGTTGTGTTGAATGTTGATTTTAATTTAGTTATAAGAAAATTATTCTTATTAAAAAAAAAATAAACTAACAAATTGTGAAATGTGACGTGGCATTTTTTGATTGCTTGAGTTTTTTCCCAAGTTGAGACGGGGTAGGAAATTACAGTTCAGTATGGATTTGTACTATCAGTTTCTTGTGTGTCTTGAATTGTTATTTAATGGTCACAATAATTAGAATTATTTATTTATTTTTATTTTTATTACAATAATGATCTAATATGCCTAATATTTATTAATAGAATGTGTATATTAGTTTTTTCAAGTGTAAGGTAAGTAATTTATTGCTATTTGTATTATATATAATTAATTACGGTCAAAATTCAAAAAATTATGACTCCGTTTTGGATTTTTTTTTTCATTATTTTTTGTATATTAACAATCGCAAATGGTTAATTGACTTAAAAAAATCAAAAGCAATATTTTGATTTAATATCTTCATCATAAAATTCAATACACTAATTAGAAGTCTTATGTCATAAAATTCACCAATAATACTATCTAATTACTCATAGACTCCATACATATTATCTTCTGGAAAATCCCTACTACACGATCGTATGTCAAAAATTTGTTAACTTTTTCGAAAAATCACACAGTAAATGGTTGTCGAAATTTATCAAACTACAACACTTTTTTTATAGAATGGATGAAATTATTCAAAGTTTTCCAAAAAGTCACACCGTCAATTGAGTGTCCATATTTGTCTAACTCAGTCCTTCTTACAGTGTGGAAATAATCCAAATTTATATGATTTATTTAATTTTTCTTTTTGTTAGATAAGGAATTTCAGAAAATTCCGACTACATAAATTTTCTATCATAAAATTCACCGATACTATTGTTTAATTACTATTTTTTCCTTTTTATGCTTAATATATTTAATATTTTCATAAAATATTTTTTCTTTTTATGCTTAATATATTTAATATTTTCATAAAATAATATATATATATATAATTTTATTTTTTGTTATTATGAGATAGGATGAATTATAAAAGCTGAAAATTATCCATATATGGCACAAAATTTTCTCAAAGATAATATATTGAAAAAAATAAAAATATTTTTATTTTAAATTTAAAAATAAAATATAATTATTCATAACTTATGGGTCAATATTAACTTGGACGTAAACGAGATAGTCAATTATTTATAGTTTAATAAATTACTCAACTACTTAATTTTTTTTATTTGAATAGTTTATACAATAATAAATTATAAGTAATGAAACAATATAAATTTTATATTTATACTTATTATTCACATAGGTTGTTAAATATATGATAACAATTTACCAAAATAACTATTTTATGAAATCACATATAGTCAAATCGATTTTCCGAATAAAATTTTTGAAATGATACTTATCTTGAAACGAATATAATGTAATTTATGATCAGTTATGTGCACCGCACGAGTTGTATACTAATTTTAAATATTTATTTTTATGTAATTTCGCACAATTTCAACTTTATATAACATTTTCAATAAATTAATATAGGTAAATTGTATTACATATTGATTATATATTTTAAATTTATAAATACTATTTAATAAGAATTTTTAATTTATAAATATTAATGAATATCTCTTACCCGTGCACTGCACGGGACTCATACAGTTTAAAAATATAGAATCAACATGTAATCAAATTATTTATATTAATCTATTGAAAATGTTATATGAAATTTAAATTGTGAAAGTTACATAAAACTTGTATATTTAAAGTACACAACCCGTACGGTGCATATAATTGATAATAAATTACATTTTAATTATTTCAAAATAAGTGTTATTTTAAATTTTTCATTCAGAAATTTGATTTGACTTCAATGTGATCCCATAAAATAATTATTTTTGGTAAATTTTATCATATCTTTAAATCTATGTGAACAATAAGTATAATTATAAAACTTATATTGTTTCATTAATTAAAATAAATTTATTTTTTGTATAAACTATCCAAATAAAAAAAATTTAAATAGTTGTGTAATTTATTAAACAATAGATAATTGATTATTCCATTTACGTCCAAGCCAAAATTGACCCTTAAATTATGAATAATTACTTATTTGAATTTTAAATTTGAGACTCAAATTTGGACTAGACAATAAATTCTCTTATATATAAATATTTTTTAGATTTTTTCTTGCTTCCTTTATTGTTCAAATTTATCAACTCATTCTCTAGAATTAAATTACAAATTTTAAATTTTATTAACCAATATTTGTTCAAAGATCTTTTTCATTTTCAAGAGGAACACATATCAATTTGTCGAATTATCATCAATATCTTATGGCAAGTTATTATGGGAATATGCTAAAATTTGATAATCATATCACCTTGATTTTATAGCAAATCAACCTTACATTTGACTTTCATACTTATAACAAATAAAATTCATATCATTTAAATCCCAACATTTCATACCAAAATAAAATCGTCCACTTTATACCATATATTCAGACATTTATTAATCACACATTTCCTAACAAAAAAAAAAAAAAG